GACACACATAAGTCTGATGTATAATCTCAAGAAGTTCCAGCTCCTAATTCAAACTACACTTATATAGAGAAACAAAAAAGACAAACACTATTCATCAAAGTTGCCACTATTCACAGCTGAATTTGTCATTTTTGTATCTCCAATTTAGACCGAGTTTTGAGCTGATCTTTTTTGCAGTTGTAGATATACATCATAGGTATGTTGTCAAATAATTTCAGATTTTTTTGGATTGTTTAAATATGATTTTTTTTTCTATTAATCCCACGATCTCATTTAAAGGGCAGATTCTATTCTAGTCTCCTTGGACTTTGTGCGCAAAAGCTAAGCACGAGTCGGGCCCGGATCCCGGGTTTTCGGCCCTGGGCCTTTTACCCCGGCTTCCCTCAGGTTTACCACCGGTGCGGTGACTTTTACAATCAACCTCTAGAAATTCCTTTTACCATTCATTAGAAAAATAATTCTTGACCTAAAAAAAGAAAGAAAAACAATTCCTTTTACCAGAAAACACAGTCTCGTATTCTCCCGAAGCCGCACATAACCAGGCCGCGTCACACGGCCGTCTTCCCCGTTCTCCCCGCGCCGCTCGCCCTCTCCCCCGCCGTCGCCGGCTCGCCCCCGCGGCGCAAGGCGGTGACCCCGCAGGACGATCGGAGCCGCGCCGCTCCTCGCCTCCTCCGCCCTCCCCAGAGGCGAGTAGACCGAGAGGCGGAGGCCTCCCACGGCATCGCCCGCCATGTTGCGCCGGTACGGCCACCGACCTAGGTTTCCGCCCCGCCCCGCCGAATTAGGGTTTCCACGCCTAATGCCTGGCTCTCTCTGCTTTCGCAGGTGCGTGCGGGATCTGTACCCGCTGCGGTCCCTCAGGAGGATCCCCAGGCCGATCTCCAGCGAGGTAATTAAGCGTCCCCGTTATGTCTCGTGGCTCGATCCCCATTAGGACGGTCTCCGGTGGTTGCAGCTGGTCGAATTGCTTGCTCTGGTAGGCGTGTGTTGGGCTGAGAATTCAGTTGCTTGTGAGAGCTTGCCTGGGATTGGTGGATTCGTTGGTTAAGCTGCCAGTGGAGGGGCTGTGTTATGGCTGTTCATGTCTGATTAGTTTTTGGGAATGCTGCTCGTCCTGTCATTTGTTTTAGTTAACATAGCCCGTTTGTGTTCATCTGATTTGAGATAGATTAACTAAGGGCTGTCTGTGTTTGGAGCATGATGCTGTGGTACATGTGGCAATGTTTGGAACTTAATAGGAGTTGACATTAGCTTAGTTGGCAATGAAAGAATCCAATTAGATTGGGCTGACATGAATCATGTTATTTGTACTTATTTTGCCACATATGAGGTTTGTATTATTTTTCATACGGAACACCGATTACTCACTAACCCTTGATGAATGCTTCTAGAAGAAAATAGGACCACACTTTCTTGTGATATTTGTAATGTTATGTTGTTACTTATTCGTTAGTAGTATTATCAGTGCGAGCGCAAAATTCTACTGCGAGTTGATTGGACCTGTCAAAAGCCATGTATAGTTTTTTCCATGTGCTCATCGCATATATTTACATAAATGCAGTGATTTTCTACGTGCAATGAATGCACACAATTTATGTTATTAGGTTTGTAATGCTTTTGCAACCGCCTTTCCTCATTCCATTCCTTAGCTTTGGAAGTTTGCACAATAGTTGGGAGTATTCTTGCATTTTTTTCTCTTTCTATTGCTGATAGGCCTGAAGTGCAAAAAAGTGACAGAATAACCTATTTATCAGGTCCAAAGTCCAACATTCGGTCAACTCAGAAGAAACTCAACAAAAGCATCCCAACAAGGTTCAGCACAGAAATCTGTCCCTGGACCTAAAGAAGAACCTTCTAAGTCTGGAAGCAAGGTTCCAAAGGTTCTGCTTGGAACTCTGGTTGTTGGTGCTGCTGGTATGGCCGCTTATCGAGCTGACTACATAGACCTTCAGTTTATGGATGAAAAATTGCCTTCGACCATCAGGGAGCAAAATCTCACAAAGATGTATGAAAATCTGAAGTCCCCTTTTGAACAAAAGGTTGATCAGAAACAAACCATGTTGGATCCAAAGAATGGCATTGTTCAGGATACACCCAAGGGCCTTCCAGCTGAAGGGATTCCAACTGCCGGTGAGCAGCCTACTCCTGCAGAAGAAAAAGAAACAGAAACCGTAACCCAGGGAACACTGCCAGTTCAAGATGAGCATGGTGCTGATACTAAACTGCCGTCTCAAGATACTCTCTCTGTTGACATAAAGCCAAATGTTGTAAATAAGGCAGCAGGTGAAGTTCCTCTTGGACAAGCTGACAAGATAAGTAGCACAGTTTCTCCAGTAGAATCAAGCCAAACAACGGCTGAAGTACAAAAGGTTTGAGTTCTTCCTGAACTTGTTATTTAACCACCGATTTATCATCATTTGCATGTTGATTGGTATATCAAAGTACTTATATTTTCTCCTTCCTAATTGGTAATTCGATGGATTCTACAGGCTTACAAGGATTACTGTGTTGCTTTCAGTTTTTATAGATTATACACTGTAAAGGTTATGCCATATGATTTATGCAGAAGAAATATTTAGAA